CTTTAGTTCCTCATTGCTTTCTGCCATTAGGGTTGTGAGATTATTGCTAATTCTCCCATCAGTCTTGATTCCAGCTTGTGCTTCATCCAGCCTGGCATTTTGCATGATGTACTATGTATAGAAGTTAAATAAACAGGGTGAAAATATATAGCCTTGATGTACTCCTTTCCCAATTTTGAACCAGTCCACTGTTCCATGTCCAGTTCTAACTGTTGCTTCTTGACCTGCATACAGGTTTCTCAGGAGGCAGGTCAGGTGGTCTGGTGTTCCCTTCTCTTTCAGAATTTTCCACAGTTTGTTGTGATCCACACAGTCAAAGGCTTTAACATAGTCAGTGAAGCAGATGTTTTTCTAGAATTCTCTTGCTTTTTCTGTGATCCAATGAATGTTGGCAATTTGATCTCTGATCCTTCTGCCTTTTCTAAATCCAGCTTGTACATCTGGAATTTCTCAGTTCACATACTATTGAAGCCTAGCTTGGAGGATTTTGAACATTACTTTGCTAGCATGTGAAATGAGCACAGTTGTATGGTAGTTTGAACAATCTTTGGCATTGCCCTTCTTTGCAATTGAAATGAAAACTGACTTTCCTCTCTGGTGTTTTGTGGATGTGTGTTTCTATTAATGTGTTCTGGAGGATAGTTTGTGGGCTTCCCTGGTGGCTCAGATGGTAAAGAATCTGCCTATAGTGCGGGCAGGAGACCTGGATTTGATCTCTGGGTTTGAAAGATTCCCTGGAGAAGGGATTGGCTACCCACTCCAGTATTCTTGCCTGGAGAATTCCATGGACAGAAAATCCTGGTGAGCTATAATCCATGGAGGATATTTTATATGTGTGTATATATGCTTTTTGAAAATATTCCAGAAAGTGTTATAACCATGTGTTATACAGACTTCCTCTTCCTGTTCAGAACATTTAGCTTCTCTCTGTGTCTCCTAGACCTTCATCTCCCAAGACTCAGTCAACAGATATTTCTTGAGCATCTATTATGATCCAACTCCTCCTGTCCTCACATTAAAGTGCTAGACTTACAGTGGTGCAGAAAAAAAAGCTCAGTTCTGTCTTCTAGAGCTTATACCCTAGTGTAAAAGACAAACATTGAATGGTTGTGCAGTCTAATAAACACCTGCAGGCTGTAGCCTGCATAGCTGAAAGAAAATGCTATCGAGAGTTTGTCAGAGGGACTGGGGTCGGGGGGGTGTCAGGGGCAGCATCTCTTGAGGGGTGACCTTTAAGCTGACCTAGGCAGCATGTGTGTTGGTTGCTGAGTATGAGTAGACAAAAGTGGGCCAAGGGTTGTGTTGTTCAAGAGTGTATGTGAAAGCTCAGAGGTGCAGGAGGCCTGTTAAGGATTAAGAACTTTACTCTGAAGGCCGTAAGACAGCACTGCAGAGTTCTAAGTAGGAGAGTGACGTAGTGTGTTTTCAGAGGCTCTCTCTGGCACCAGACTTGGAATGGATGGAGTAGGGAAGTAGTCAGGAAGCTATTGCAGTTGTCTGATAAGAACAGTGGCAGCTAAGATTAGATTGATGGAGAGAAGGGGAGAGATTTAAGCGATACTGAGGAAGTGGAGTCCAGGAATTGATGCCACTGGATGTGGGCCAGTAACCTCCTAATTGGCTCTTTCACTTTTTTAAAATATCCTTTGCCTCAGGCTTCTCTGATTAAAGTGACTGTCTCTAGATTACAGTGAGCACATGGAACTAAGATATTCAGATGAGGTTGTTGGTGTTTACGTTGAGGGTCCCTAAAGATCACCCTCAGGTTCAGTGAGTCACCAGAAGGACCCACAGGAGTCAGATAAGCTGGGATCCTCACCATTGTGGTTAATTACAGAGAAAGGACACAGAGTAAAATCAGCAGAGAGAAAGAACGCATGGAGCCAAGTCCAGGAGACCTCCAGCATGAGCTTCCGAGTGTCCTCTTGCAGTGAGGTCCCAGGGAAGTGCTTAATTCTGGCATCCGTGTGTGACAGCACACACTCAGCATTATCCTCAGGGAAGCTTACCCGAGAGTTGGGGTCCAGTGTTTTTACTGGGAGTCAGTCATAAAGATGCAGTACTCAAGGGACAGACTCCGGCTCCCTGGAGATGAAACATGTATTCACCATAAATCACACTGGGGCCTGCTGTGTGATCCTCTTATCAGGCAGAGTAGTCCAAGAACTCAGATCTCAGCTCCCAGAAGCTGGCCAGGGGTTTCCAGAAAGACAAGCTGAGGAGACAGGCCTTTCTTGGGAATGTGCAGGGTTTGAGCATCCCAGGCCTGCTCTCTGAACCCTTTCCTGCCCAGAGCTGTAGCCCACCCAGGGTGCCTGTAGCATCTGAGTAGGTGAGTTGTATGCGCCAGGCCTCCTTCCCACAGCTGCATCTTCTCCAGTTCATCAGAACGTAGCCTAGAAAAGAGTGTCATTAGTGGACGGTAGCCAGGTGTTGGGGACCCGCATGCACTTACCAGCTTGTACGAGGGACTCTACACTCAAAGGGCTTAGTGACAAGGATCAAATCAACCTGGCCTTGACTGGAAACATCCCTCAGCAGAACCCAGGATGTAGCCTTTCTCCTACATTTCAATTTCTACAGCAATTTCCGTACCAGATTTTATCTATATGGCCTGGCCTAATTTTCTAACTCTCAGCGGTGACTGTCTGCGTATTAAGTTAGGTCTTGCCATATCACACAGATAGTAACACTATTTAGAATCTTAAGATATTTACTTTCCCAGAAAACTTGGGGAATTTGAGAAGTGTTTGTTTTGAAAAGCAAAATATATGTGAGGTGCATGGCTGAAAGAGCATTTGCACTGAGCCTGGACTTAGAGAAAAATGTAATGGGAGACTGAGGAAATGCACTTTTGCCAGGACCTCCACAAGTGATTTTGTAAGAACAAAAGCAATGCTGCTATTTAAAATAACCAGAGAGGAATGAATCAGGCAAGCTGGCAGTGAAAGGACTGTTTGGCTGGACTAGAGATCAGTAGATTACAGATGACAAGTAAAGAGAAAAAAGATTACATGTCTCAGTATTGATAATAAAATGCTCCCTGGGTCAAAAAATTAGTAATAACATTCTGAGTAAACATAGTTTTTGAGAGGTCACCACTTTTCAAAGGGAAGGGTTAGATTATTTGAAATTTTACAGTTAAAAAAATATGATCACAAAATGGGTTAGCATGAGGACTTGAATAAATGCCTATTTGAAGAGACTCCTAGTCCAATACCTCCTCCCTGTTTTATCATGTTGTACAAGCTATTCAAATACCACTAGAGATATTAGAGCAATATTAAGAAACCACAGTATTTCAGGTGGACGTAGGAATCTGAGTTGTTCAATTATTATTTTGTATCTGTCACATACAGTAATTTGATTATGCTAAATGTTGTGAACAAGGGACTGAATATTTTTAAGTGTGACAAATTTCTGTTAAACTAATTTGAGTTATTGGTTAGGAAGACTTAATATTTTCTTCACAACCCTGGTTTCATTTCAAGAGTATGTTTTTTTTTCTGAGATTTAATTTGCAGTTACATTTCTTAGTAAACTAGCTGTTTTGTTTAACAGTATTAACTGAAGCAGTTGCAGGATCATTTGAAAGAAATCTGTTTTTTAGCATGCGAGTGCGTGTTTGGTCATGTCAGACTATTTGCGACCCTGTGGACTGTGGCCCGCCAGGCTCCTCTGTCCATGGAATTTTCCAGGCAAGAATACTGGAGTAGGTTGCCATTTCCTTTGCCAGTTTTTTTTTTAGCATAGTCATGGATAATTAGGGGATGAGGTTAGTACATTATAGGGCTTCCCAGGTGGCTCAGTGGTAGAGAATCAGCCTGCCAGTGCAGGAGACACAAGAGACACAGATTCAATCCCTGGGTGGGGAAGATCCCCCGGAGGAGGAAATGGCAACCCACTCCAGTATTCTTGCCTAAAAAATTGCATGGGCAGAGGAGCCTGGCGGGCTACACTCCATGAGGGCCACAAAGAGTCAGACATGACTGAGTGACTGAGCACACAGTTATGACATTAATAAAAGCTAACATATGGTGCTTGTTATGTTCCGGGCACTACTGTGAGTGCCTTACACGTGTTACGTGATCTTTGTAACGTTCTGTTAAGGTTCAGTTCAGTTGCTCAGTCGTGTCCAACTCTTTGTGACCCCATGAACCACAGCATGCCAGGCCTCCCTGTCCATCACCAACTCCCGGAGTCCACCCAAACCCATGTCCATTGAGTCGGTGATGCCATCCAACCATCTCATCCTCTGTCGNCTTCCCATTTTACAGACAGAATTGAGGGACAGAGCTTTTAAAAAACTCACCTAAAGTCAACACAGCCAGTAAGTGGTTTCAAATCCACAACATGTGGATGCAGAGTCTGCATTCTAACCCCCTGTTCTCTGCAGCCACGCACAGATAACAGATTGATTAGGAAAGGAAGCTGCCGCTGCCTGTGATGGCTTAGTCAGTAGGGTAAGTGGAGATACAGAGGGGGGAAAATCCCCCATGTTGATCCCAAATGTAAAAGAAATTTAAGAGCAGTAAGCTCTCTGGACCATTTGCCATGTGTCCCCAGCTGGAGTCTGGTAGGTGTGATGGGGCAGTACTGAGTGACTCTGGAGCTGTGATCACTGCAAAGAATTCTGCAGTAGCCACCCTTGACGCTGAAGTTGAGAATAATGGGCCAGAACAGAACTGGAGTGATTGGCCTATGCAATCTGTTCATAAAGTGTTGCACTAATAACAACTTTGCATTTGTATATTATTTCAAATAGTATAGAATTTATAAACTTGAGTTTCTGTTCACCCATGGTACCTCTTTTTGGTACCGTGCCCTAAGACATTGCGTATCCAGAGTGGCTGAGGAATTGCTCCATTCGATTTTATCTTCTTTCGTTGGAAAACCCTTGGCTATGAGCCCTTGTTGGAATCACTGGTTGCTAATGATTCCTCTTGTTTCACCTTCCGCAGACTCTCTTATTGCAGTCAGTTCCACGGTGGTTTTTCACATTGCTGTATTTCCTCAACTCAGTTGCAAGCCCAGCCAGGGCAGAGACGCAGTCTTATACATCTTTTCTGTTGACCTGGCACAAAAGGAGCCTGCTGTTTCCTGAACTGATTCTAACATCCTTTTACTAGTTTTGAAAAATCAGAGGATGGCAAGCCTGGCTTAGTCTTCCTGTGGCTATTGAGGGTCCTGTCATGATTCTGGTTCCTGATTGCAAATCTGAGTTAGGATTGTGTAGGCTTGTCAGTCTACCAGCTTAAGGTACTAAGCTTTCTTGAAGACAGAAATTATTGGGTAACCATATTTGTATCCAAATTACCTCGCATAATATGTGGGAGCCTGCCCTAAATGTTTTAAACAGCTAAGTTAGTGAATCAATACTGCCATACTGCATGACCTGAGATGTCAATTTTTTTTTGTTTAAATCTCTGTTGGAAATTTGCTTTCTTATATTAATCATGATTTTCCTTTAAAACTGGAGAGTGTTTAATGGGGCCTCCCACCTAGAGTTTTTCAAATCAAAGTTAGTTTGGCCATTTATGTTTTCATGTCTTTAATCATTGGTCTTTAATTATCTTATCTATGATTTCTCTGATAATATTGGAATATGAATTATTTGAATTCTTTTCAGTGCTCAGTAACACTTTTAGCACATTTGTATAAAAACCTCAGTAACCTCTTTGTGGCAGTCTTCATATGCTTATTTCATGACTCAAAAGTGTTTGGAGGACATACAGAATAGAAAATAAGTAAGTTTTTTTTTCTTTTTTAACTCCAGAAGATGAGCAGAAGTACCCAACCAAGAAACTCTGCTTCCATTCCCCATCGCTTGTCTGTGCATATTTGGCTCATACCCAAACATCCTTCTGATGTTCCCTGGGTTCTCTTTTAGCACTACAGTTGCATAGATATTTTCTTTGTTATAATTTACCAAAGATTAAAATCAGGAATTTTGAAATTAATTCAGAAAGGTTGAAGATGTGTTCCTCCCACCCCCAGGGAAAAGGCTAGCATGGTCATCCCTGAAGAAAGAGAAGGCAGAGACGAAACGAACCTCGACCTTGTGAGAGGCTGCGTGTCTGCTAGTGCTCCCACCGACACGCGAAAAGCCGGTGAGTCCCACTCTCTGCCAAGCTCTCCTGCTGCCCCTGCCGGAGGCTGTAGGGCTCCAGAGTCTCTCTGCAGGAGCTTGGTTTTTCTCAACAAGCTCTTCACTGTGGGTGTCTGCTGTCATATCTCGGCCTCAGCTCTGCTGTTCACTAACCACGTCTTTCTGACTCTCAGGCTCTTTACCCATAAGATAGGGGGGTTGTGTTCTAGGCACCAGCATTGGAAATAAGTTACATTCCAGCATTAGTTGAGATTCAGAATATACTTTTGCCAAGAAGCTTTTGTGAATGGTGATTGGGTTCTTACCTTAACCCAAAGAGGCCAGTGTCCTCATAGATAAGAGACAGGGTTCATTGTTCAGGGTGCATTCCCACCCCTTCCAGTGTTTGTTGATTGCTTCCTGGCACTTTTCTAGACCACAGGTATGTGGTACTCTCACTGCTGTGCCGCATCCAGCCAGTGGCCTTCCACCGAGACATGCTGGATGCCCCTTGCACTGCGGTCCGAGGATGACCATGTCCCTCCCACTCCCCAGATCTCCATTTCAGCAGCTGCCTTCAGCCAGGTGGCGTGGGAAAAACTGTGGCTGAGTCACTTTCTCCTTTGGTGAGGTCAACGCAGTTAAAGCAGTGCGTCTCAGAATTCACTGTCCTTCAGAATAGCCTCTGATGCTTGTTAAAACTGTAGATTCATGGATCCCACTCCATTGAAATTCCGATTTGATAGATCTGAAATGGGGTCAGCATCTGATGGAAGTGGTCCTTGGACCATACTTTGGGAAACACGGCCTCATCAGAGGATCTGTGTCTTTTGAAGAAGATTCTTAAACAGGTTGGGGACATTTCCTGCAGGACAGCAGGAATACCCGGCAATATGAAGGAAGGTAGAGCCTGTGGGTACCACATGAAAAGCTATTCACAGAAATCTGCCCTCTGAGTTCAGTCTTCTCAGCACTCATATTAGCTTCCCTTTGCTGCTGTAACAAATTGCCACAAACTTTAGTGTCTTGAAACGACATGCAGTCATTATCTAACAGTTATTATACAATCCAAAGTCCAAATGGGTTTCACTGAGTTAAAAAGAAGGTGTCTGCAAGGCTGCACTCCCTTTGGAGGCTCTGGGGGAGAATCCCTTCCTCTTCCAGGTCATCCAGGGCTGCCTGCTCCCTCACTCGTGGCTCCTTCGTCCACCTTCAACACCAGCAGCTCTTCCTCTGAGCTTCCTGCTTCTCTCCTTTGCTTATAAGGGCCCTCGGACCTGTCTCCATAATCTAGAAGAATCTCCCAATCTTGAGACCTCTAATTTAATCACATTTCCAGAGTCCCCTTTGCTGTGTAAAGTAACATATTTGCAGCTTCCAGGGGTCAGGACAGAGACATCTTCCGGAGGAGGGGGGCACTATTCTACCTACAGAAGCAGGTCCTTCAGCCAGCAGTGTTGGCATCACCAGGGAGCCTGTTAGAAACACAGCCTCTGGGACCCTCTTCCACACCTACAGAATGCAGTAGGTGTTTTCTCTCCATCCCAGGCAATTCATATGCACATCAGTGGGAGAAGCTCTGTGCTCGTGTTTCTCCCAGCTTCTTCCATTTTTCTGTCTCTGGACTCATTGATACAAGCACAAAACGCTTCAAAATTTTTCACAGCAGCTCACATGGCAGTTTATTGAGAGGACATTACTAAACATCTACTGCATGCTAGGCTCTCCCTTAGGAATTGGGATGACGGTGATCAGCAAAGGGTGGTCAGTGCAGCAGTGAGGGAGCACAGAGGAGCCCCAGAGGGAAGACGATGGTGAGTGTTGGTGTTTGTGAATTCTGTGTAAGGAAGTATTTACCAAGAGACCCCAGTGTCCTAGTAGCTCTATTTAGTTTAAGGGAAATTGCCTTCAACCGTAAATAAACCTTTTTGAAAATATGGGAAAATGTGGAATAAAGTAATACTGTGCAACCAGGCGTGAGAGACTAATAGCAGAAACACAGACATCTGACTTTAATTGTGATCTTCCATCTTTGAGAGTTACTCCTCAGCAATGTTTCTTAAAATGCTTCTCTTTCTTCCCAGGCGGCCAGGAGCAGAACGGTAGCCAGCAGAGCATCGTCGTGGACATGCGGGAGTTTCGAAGTGAGCTGCCCTCTCTGATCCACCGCCGGGGCATCGACATCGAGCCGGTGACCCTGGAGGTTGGAGACTACATCCTGACTCCGGAAATGTGCGTGGAGCGGAAGAGCATCAGTGATCTGATTGGCTCCTTGAACAACGGCCGCCTTTACAGCCAGTGCATCTCCATGTCCCGCTACTACAAGCGGCCGGTGCTTCTCATCGAGTTCGACCCCACCAAGCCGTTCTCCCTCATGTCCCGCGGCGCCCTCCACCAGGAGATCTCGGGCAACGACGTCAGCTCCAAGCTCACCCTCCTCACGCTGCACTTCCCGCGGCTGCGGATCCTCTGGTGCCCCTCCCCGCACGCCACCGCCGAGCTGTTCGAGGAGCTGAAGCAGAACAAGCCGCAGCCGGACGCCAGCACCGCCATGGCAGTGACCGCCGACTCCGAGACCCTCCCCGAGGCGGAGAAGTACAACCCCGGGCCCCAGGACTTCTTGTTAAAAATGCCGGGGATAAACGCCAAAAACTGCCGCTCCTTGATGAACCACGTGAAGAACATCGCTGAGTTAGCAAGCCTGCCCTTCGACCAGCTAGCGAGCCTGCTGGGGAACACGGGCAGTGCGCGGCAGCTCTATGACTTCATTCACACCTCCTATGCAGAGGTCCTGTCCAGAGGGAGAGTGAGAAAGTGAGCCGCGCTGCCCGTTTTCTTGTCCCCTGGCTGCTTCTGAGCTGCTCTTTGCTGGCCCTCACAGATCTTTATTAGCCCAGTAGCTCATTCTCTTGGGATTCCCAGGTGCCTCAGTGGTAAAGAACCTGCCTGTCAGTGCAGGAGACGTAGGTTCGATCCTGGGTTGGGAAGATCCCTGGAGGAGGAAATGGCAACCCACTCCAGTATTCTTGCCCGGGAAATTCCATGGATAGAGGAGCCTGGTGGGCTACAATCCCTGGGGTCACAAAAGAGTCAGACAGGACTCAGCAGCCAAACAACAAAGCTCATTCTCTTCCAATCTTTGAACGATTGTGCTGTTTCCTGGGTCAGGGGACCAGAGGCTTGTTTAGGCATCATTTTCACTCTGCACCATCCACACCAGGTCTAGTACTTTCCATCTTTACATGAAGTGTTGTCAGGATTAGGGAAGGTGTCTGCAGGTGTTTATAGAAGGCTGTTCATGAAAGGAACAGAAACTTCGGTTTTCTTCGGAGACTAATGAAATGCACAGTTGTGTTCTTACCCTCTGTCTGAGAGGGGCCTCTGGGACTCTGAGAAGGGAGCATCTCTGCCACTCCTCACCAGTGCTCTCCACGCTCTCCAACTGCCTGCCTCTAGGATAAGTTCATGGGGACTTGCTACTGCTAATCAAAGAAAGACAGCAACCTCTGAAACAGGCCAGTTGGTTTTCTGATCACCTGAAGATAGATGGCATGTACCAGAACCATACCTGGTTTGTTCGAAACCAGTATTTTTAAAACATAGAATGAATTACCTATTTATAGAACTGGATTGTCTAGAAGGAGCCTTAAAAATTCTGTTTCTACAGATACTTAACCTCCTGAGTCCAGCGATCTCTTAAGCCCAAATGGCTAGTCTGGGAGTCTGTTAGATGCCTTCCTTCCCAGTGTCTCCTCACCTGCCCTGGGACCCCCCCCAGCACAGGTCCTCTCCCAGGTCCCTGCCCCCCACTTTCCTGGGTCGGACTGGCCCCCTGCGTCTCTTACATGAGGACTGGATGCAAGAAAAGGAGGGATGCACAGTTTTTAAGATTCGATTTTTCTGTCTTGATTTAAACTACAAGTGTTGCAAGGAAATGGAAGATCAATGCAGAGAATATATAAAGATCCTAAAGAAATATATATATATTTTAAAAATCCATAAGGAAAACAATCTCATTCCAAACCTTCTGATTGACTTTATTTAGCTTCTTACTGAAGTATAGATACAGGACTTTCACAGCATCTTTGTGCAGTTTTTAAACTTTGATATTGAACCATTATTAACTTAGATATTATTCACATATTTAGTAATGCGTCGATCTTCTACCTCAAGAGCTGCTGTTCAAGAGCATAAGTTCCACTGGCCACATCACATAGGGTCATGTTTTGTCAGCATCAGTTGTGTTTTTGTCACAGTGTCTGAACTCAGAGTAGACAGGGGTCTGTGTGACATGAAATGGTCTTCATCTTTAACACAGTCTTTCAAGTGTCATCTCTAAACCAAATCTGTTGTCTTGACATCTTGGTTTCTTGGTATGTTGACATAAGTTAAAGTGTGTGGATTTTGAACTCTTTAACGAGGGTATCACAAGAATGAATTAAGGGGTACCGAATTGTTATCATCAGACTCTGGAGAGTGACTTGGAGAAGAGAGAAGAGGACAAGAAACAGAGATTAGTTTGTGGTAGAATAAAGATTTGAGATACTAACTCTGTCCCAGGGTTAAAAATATACCCTTAAGAACAGAAAACAAAATGTCAGGCACATATGTTAATTTTCACTTTCCTCTGCATTTCTTTCTTTAAGCACTCAGTCATAGTCGTGTCTTTTAAGTACATTAAAATAGATACCACCTCAGATAGTGATGGTTATTATCATTTTTCTTCATCCTAGCACTTCTGCTTGAGAAATGTAATTTCTATTTTTTTCTCCTAGTATAATTCCACCTGCCTTTTATTGTTCTTTCATTACATAAAAGGAAAACCCTAACAGCACATTTTTTGAGAAGGGTTTCACTCCAAGTTTTCAAAAATAAGCTCTCTTAAAGCTACTATTTTAAAATAGTCCTTGTTACCTGCTACAACATAGAAGACAGTTGTATTTAGAGAGCCAACATCCTCACTCCCAAAGACTTACTGGCTGTTGCACCTGCTAGGAGGAGGATATGGAATCCCACTCCAGTGTTCTTGATTGGAGAATCCTGTGGACAGAGGATCCCAGCAGGCTGCAGTCCATACGGTTGCACAGTACTGGACATGACTGAAGCGACTTAGCATGCACAGTACTGGACATCTTAAGATGGGGCACTGGCTCAGATGTGTTTGATTGTTTCTAATGAACTCTAAAATGGTCATTATAATTGAAAGGCTCTCATTGCTACGTCCTCTTCCAACTAAATAAATATATCTTAGTGTCTCCAGTTGTGAAAACCCTTCAATATAACCATCACATATTTACTTTTCATCAACTTCTTTTACAAATTTTTATAGCTTAAGAATCTGGCAAAGAACTAGAGATGCATGCAGTTGCAAAAACTTTATCACTTTGTTTTCTAGCAGCATTTTATTAGCTTTGCCCTTTTTTTCTTTCAAAATCACAAATATCCGATTATGAGCTCATGCTTAGCTTTCTTAAAACCTTTTTTAAGAACTCGAGACCAGCATTATTCTAGTTTACAAGTTTTTTGCACAAAACTTTTTGAGTATATGAAATATTGTGAGAAATGGTTTTCTGTTTTGTTTAAATCACAGTGCCTCTCTTGATACTTTCTTAAAATTATAAGAAATCATTTTTAATAGTGGCCATAAATAATATCCTTTTGGCAATCAGTTGCTGTTTCTTTAATCTGAGGCTTAGTATGTCTATATGTCTGAATATGTTTGAGTACCTCCAGATTGTAGTTTCCCAGCTCAAGAGGGGACTGAAAATAATCGTCTCATTTATCAACCCTCTGAGACGCAGAGGGTTAAGACTAGATTTGGTTGTGTTGAGAAAACAGAGTATAGAGTTAATAAATGGCCTCCAGCAGGAAAACCTACACTGAAGTATATCCAGAGAAGTGGGTAGGGGAGAAAGACAGGCATTATTAATCTCTGCTTTTGTTTTTCAAGCATAATTTGATTTTCTTCTGGCTCAGAAAACTTCTTTAGGGAAATTCCCTTCTCTTTTGTGTTCAGTTGAACCTAGGAATGTCCCCTTAAGAACCAACATTTTAGGAAAATTCTCTTCTCAGGCTTGAGCCTATTAAAATTTACCCAGACTTTGACATGAGTTGTCACTTTTCTTCATTATTTTGCTTTCTATTTTGGTTTATAGCTATTTCCTGTCTGATTCTGAGCTTCAGTACTTAATCTACCATCTTTATCCATAGGTTTTCCGTGGCCTACACCACTGTTGTTTTTTTAAGGTTATATAAGCCAAAATTTGGATGGGAGGGATACGTAACCATTTACATCAATTTGTGACAGAGTTGTTTGTGTATGTTTTAATAAAATGTATTTATTCAGTATTTTCCTCAACGTTCTGTGGGCAAAAACAACCAAGTGGAGCGAAAAGGAATACATTCCCAGTATGTGATAGTTACCAGTGTGTTGGTAGATTTAATTTAAAATTATAGAGAATATTTAATTAGTTTTCCTACAGAATAAGTGATTAAAGCTGCAGTGTGCTTTGAACCACTGATTTGGCATTTGACTTGCTTGGTGAGCCCGCTTTCTAAGGCCCCCGTGTGTTTTCCTTCTGGTTATTTTCCTTTTCTGCTTTTCATTTTGCTGCATTTGCCCTTGAGGAGGAGGGGAAAAGTGGCTCTTCTGAAAATACTCATTTGTTGCCTTGTAATGAATGTGTCAGAAGCACAATGCCTGGGACTCCCCAACTCAACAAAGATTAACTCTTGCCACCTGTGACTCACACATTTTTGTCCCTTTAACATCGAAGTTGGAAGAAGTAGATGATTATTTTGAAACAAGAATTTATTGTATCCTCTTAAATAAGTTTTTTACTAATTTGCTCATTTGGATGATTTAATTATTTTGAGCTTCCATGGTGCCTCAGATGATGAAGAATCCACCTGCCAATGCAGGAGACCCGGGTTTGATCCCTGGGTGGGAAAGTTCCCCTGGAGAAGGGAATGGCTACTCACTCCAGTGTTCTTGCCTGGAAAAATTCCATGGACAGAGGATCCTGGCGGGCTTCAGTCCATAGGGTTGCAAAGAGTTGGACATGACTGAGAGACTAACAGTTATTTTGCTTCTGCTTTAAAATGTAGGACCTAAACCCTGTTTAATGCACAGTGTCGATTTATTTCTCAAAATGTTTATGTCCCAATACTTTGGTAGAATAATGAACCCTTGTAATGTGGAAGTGTTAAGTCACTCAGTCACGTCCAACTCTTTGCGACCCCATGCACTGTAACCCAACCCAGGGATCAAACCCTTAGTCACTAGTAATATAACTCAAATTTATTAGCAGTTGTGCGTTATCTCTTTTAACTCATGGCAAAGCCATAAAGTTTCAGATACTTAAATTTTTCTTTTACAGAGACGAAACTGAGGCACAGAGAGGTTAAGTAATTTTTCCCAAAGTCATCCAATAAATGGTGGAACCATGATTTCAACTCAAGCACTTTGACTCCAGAGTTCATAATGAAAAACTCGGGGGCAAAGGAGGGCCCAGTGGAGAGTTGGAAACTATGTTTTGTGTCTCCTTTCATGAATCTAATAACAAATATAGAGAAAGCAGATTGGTTTGTTTCCATGCCTCTCAGAGAAGAATGTGCTGAGCAAACACGCAAAGCTTGGAAACAGGTCCAAGAGAACACGGAGTGCTCCTCTCTGCAGACCTGGGTGTTGCCTGGTGACCTCTGCTGCTCGGGGATTATCTGATTTTCTGGAGCTGTGAACCTTCTGCTGACTGCTTAGGAAAACTGTTTCGCGTGCTTATAAAGAAGAGAGTTTAACTTGCAGAAAGCTGATAGCTCTGCAGATGAGTCTTGTTCAGTAACATCACAAAGGTTATTGTCTGGTGGGACATTAACCAATTTTGCATTTGTTAGTAAATTTATTTCTACATTCCTGTGACCAGCTACAAATCTCCAGGTCTTTCAGTTTTCTCTTAGTCAGTATATAACTGGTTTCCTC